AGGTGGGTGCCAGAGGGGAGGGGGATGGCGGACAGGCAAAATAGGGGAAGGGGATTAAGAGGTACAGGCTTCCAGTTATAAAACAAGTAAGTCACAGGGATGAAAAGTACAGCCTAAGGAAGGAACACAATATTGTAATAATGTTATATGGCGATAGCTGGGGACGACCCTCATCGCAGTGAGCACTGAGTAATGTATAGAATTGTCGAATCACTACGTTGTACACCTGAAACGAATTGTATGTCCGCTCTGCTTCAATAATAAAATTTAAAAAATAAGTAAAAGAACGTACAGGAGCGCCTGACTGGCTCAGTGGGTGGAGCACAACCCTTGACTCTTGATCTCAGGGTCGTGAGTTCAAGCTCCACGGTTGGGCATGAAGCCTACTTAAAAAAAAGAACATACAGATTATAGGGCAAAGGATGCACATCTGTGTATTGAAAATCCTGTAATGAGATCATAGAGAGGGTAGGAGAGGCGATCCACACCTAACCACAGGGCAACACTGAGGTTCAAACAGAAAAAGCAACTGGAAGGAAATGCCTGCTTGTCTCTGAGAAAGATGGATGAGTGTGCCAAGATGTGACTCTGGCCAAAAACATCAGTCATTAAACATTCACCTTAAATGCTATCTGATGCTATGTGTTAAATAATGCTGACAACACAAAGAACTGTCACCCTAGAACTGAATATTCAATCAAACAACATCTCAAGAGGGGCGCCCGGGTGGCGCAGTCGTTGAAGCGTCCGACTTCAGCCAGGTCACGATCTCGCGGTCCGTGAGTTCGAGCCCCGCGTCGGGCTCTGGGCTGATGGCTCAGAGCCTGGAGCCTGTTTCCGATTCTGTGTCTCCCTCTCTCTCTGCCCCTCCCCCGTTCCTGCTCTGTCTCTCTCTGTCCCAAAAATAAATAAAAAACGTTGAAAAAAAAAAAAAGAAGTGGGAGGAGGAAGGAGGAGATTTCTTTAAAAAAAAAGAAAAAAAATAAAATAAGGCAAAATAGAAATCACAAAATATATGGAAGAAACAAATAAAAAAATATATCAGTAGTGACACACACATCATACTGTACAATTAAGGTACAATGACAGGTTTGGAAAAATAAGGGTTTTATTTTGTTTACCCCTAAAACAACCCAAGGCTACAAATACACGTATTATTTTGAAATAGAAGGAAAATTTCAAAGTATGCAAATTATGGGATCTTTAAATTTTTTTTTTCTTAATGTTTATTTATTTTTCAGAAAGAGAGAGAGAGACAGAGCAGGAGCTGGGGAGGGGCAGAGAGAGAGAGAGAGGGAGACACAGAATCCAAAGGAGGCTCCAGGCTCTGAGCTTGTTAGCACAGAGCCCAGCATGGGACTTGAACTCATGAACCCAGAGATCGTGACCTGAGCTGAAGTAGGATGCTTAACAGACTGAGCTACCCAGGCGCCCCCAGGATTGTTTTGCACGAAAGCCAAAATGACTGTTGAATCTATTCAAAGCTCTCTGCCCCACCAGCCACACTTAGCGGCAAGACTCACAGGGTCAAGTGTGCCCTTGACCCTGAACTCTTTGTTTTTCTAAGTCAGGGTACCCTCCAACCTCAGAAAGCAGGCACCATACTCTTCTCTAGCCTGACCGCAACCCACATCCTGGACAGAGTTGCTTAAAAACCTACCACCTCTAGCTCTAGCTCCCCTGCCGAGAAATTGGCCCCTCTGAGGACAGAGCCTCAGCCCTCTCAAACCCTGAAAACTCCCTGGCAGGAACTCGGCACATCTCTGGATGTCTGGCCCCTCTCCTCCCCAGAAGAGTGAGTAAACTCTGCCCGCTGATTGCTGCTCTTTCTGCAATCCTTTGCCGCCAGTGTCCCTGGCCAACTGAACAACGGTGCTCTATATCCTACTCTATGTTCTGGCTCGGTTGGTGGAGCGCGGGACTGTTTTTTTTTTTTTTTTAATTTTTTTAATGCTTATTTTTGAGAGAGAGAGAGAGACAGACAGAGACAGAGCGCAAGCAGGGGAGGGGCGGAGAGGGAGAGAGATGTAGACTTTGAAGCAGGTTCCAGGTTCTGAGCTGTCAGCACAGAGTCCAACGCGGGGCTTGAACTCACAGACTTCGAGATCATGACCTGGGCCGAAGTCTGACGCTCAAATGACCGAGCCACCCAGGGGAGCGCGTGGCTCTTGTTCTCAGGGTTGTGAGTTCGAGCCCCATGTTGGGCACAGAGATTACTTAAAATTATTAAAAAAAAAAAAAAAAAAAAAGTGAGCATTAGGACAATGGCATCCAGATCCTGGCCAACATCTAAAGTTGGGTTGTTGCTTGGGGCGCCTGGGTGGCTCAGTCCGTTGGGCGTCCGACTTCAGCTCAGGTCATGATCTCACAGTTCCTGAGTTCCAGCCTCATGTCGGGCTCTGTGCTGACAGCTCAGAGCCTGGATGCCATTCGGATTCTGTGTGTCCCTCCCCTGCTCGTGCTCTGTCTCTGCCTCTCAAAAATGAATAAGACTTAAAAAAAATTTTTTTTTTAAATAATAAAGTTGGGTTGCTTTTTCTTGCCATTATTTATTTATTTAATTTAATTTTATTTTATTTAAAAAAATTTTTTTTAACATTTATTTATTTTTGAGACAGAGAGAGAGAGAGAGCATGAACAGGGAGGGTCAGAGAAAGAGGGAGACACAGAATCCGAAACAGGCTCCAGGCTCTGAGCTGTCCGCACAGAGCCCGACGCGGGGCTCGAACGCACAGACTGTGAGATCATGACCTGAGCCGAAGTTGGACGCTTAACCGACTGAGCCACCCAGGCGCCCCTATTTAATTTTATTTTAAAATTTATTCACTTATCTTGATAGAGACAGGGACAGTGTGAGTAGGCAGAGAGAGGGAGAGAGAGAGAATCTCAAGTAGACTCTGCACAGTCAGTGCAGAGCCCAATGCAGGGCTCGAACCCAGGAACTGTGAGATCGTGACCTGAGCCAAAACCAAGAGTTGGATGCTTAGCTTACTGAGCCACCCAGGCTCCTCTTATTGCCTTTTTTTTTTTTTTTTAAATTAGTTTTCATGCCTAGCTCAGAGCCCAACGTGGGGCTCGAACTCACAAACTGTGAGATCATGACCGGGGCTGAAGTCGGACCCTTAACTGACTGAGCCACCCAGGCGCCCCAACAAAGCTACCTTCTAATAATTACAGTATTACACGCACTATTCAAAATTATTAATATCAACAACATTACGGTAAAAGTATTATTATAATTACATTTCAAATTGAGTATCAGTGGGTGACCTGGCTGGCTCAGGGGGTAGAGCACGCAACTCTTGATCTCAGGGTTGTGAGTTTGAGCCCCATGTTGGGGGTAGAGATTACGTACAAGTAAAATCGTTAAAAAAAAAGTAAAATTGAGCATCAGTGATCACACATTCTTGGGAAGGTATTTTGTCATAAATAACAAGAGGCAGGACTTCTTCTTTTAATAAGAGGAGGTCCCTAATTCTCCTCTGACTCAGCCTCAGCCTCTTCCCTTTGGGGTAGTCTTTCCCCAGATGAACATAACCTGGGGCAGCCCGGGGACGTCTGAGCCACCAGCTCTGCCTTCTCCTTTCTGTGCCCTGGGGAAGCCGAGACTTAGGTAAGTGCTGCAGGAAAAGATCAAGTAGGGTGGCTTCAGGGGAGGGAGGGACAGATGGGAGGATGCCCTTAGCTGCAGATTGCCTAGTTCCAAGCTCCTTTTGAAATCAGCAGGGGAAGTGGGCTTTCAGAACCCCCTGCAGCTGGTTGTGGGTAGATTTGAGCCAGACAGAGCCGGCATCTGACTCAGAAGAAAGCAAAATCAAAGTCACTTCTGTGCCTGGGTGGCTCAGTCCGTTGAGGACAGACTCTCGGTTTCAGCTCAGGTCATGGTCTCACAGTTCTTGGGATTGAGCCCTGTGTTGGGCTGTATGCTGGTGGTGGGGAGCCTGCTTGGGATTCTCTGTCTCCTTCTCTCTCTGCCCCTCCTCCACTCGTTCTCTTTCTCTCTTAAAATAAATAAATTAACTTAGAAAAGACCTTCACTTCTGCAGAGTCTGTAATAGCTTCCTACAAATCTTTCTTCGGTATTGGGCTGTAATGAATCTCTTTGAGTTTTAATCGGTATTATGGTTTTTGGTATTTGCCCGTGTTTACCATGTGGTTCTAATCTCTGGGTTTTTTTTTTTTTTCTTTTTTATTTGTTCTGAGAGAGAGAGACAGAAGAGAAGGAGAGAGAGAGAGCCCTGCATTGGGCTCGTTGCTGTCATCAGGGCGCCCACTTCAGATCCTCTGTCCCCCCCTCTCTCTCTGCCCCTAGCCTGCTTGCACTCTCTCTCTCTCTCTCAGAAAGAAACAAACACTTAACAAATTGAAAAATTAAAAAATAATTTTTAAAGTTCACAGTTTTTTCTGGGTCTCTCTTCCAAGTGCCTAGCATTACTGGGAACAATTCACCTGCTGTACCTCTTTTGAGCGGACGATAAGCAATGTTGGCGATTGCGTGGCGACGTAAAAGCTAACATTTATCTGCAGTTTCTTCCAACTTATGTGAATACAATTTCCTTTTCTTTTCTCAGGGTTAATAGAGACGTAGCAGAGAGGTAAACACACCGGCTGATAAAATGGAAAAATATACATCTAAGAAAAGGATACGCATATGTAAGAGATGCCCTCTGACATGGTGAGAGTATATATACTGCCCTTCGAGGACTTTTGAGGGCTTTGTATCCTCTGTACCTCATTATTTTCCTCTGTCCCCTCATTACTGATGCATGAAATACTGAGTACTATGATCTTTTTGTTTTATTTATTTAATTTTATTAAAAATTTTTTAGGTGTATTTATTTATTTTGAGGGGGAGAGAGGGGAGAGAGAGAGGAAGAGAGAGAGAATACCAAGTAGTCCCTGTGCTGTCAGCCCAGAGCCCAATGCGGGGCTCAATCTCATGAACCATGAGATCATGACCTGAGCCAAAACCAAGAGTCAGACGCTTAACCGACTGAGTCCCCCCAGGTGTCCTTGCTTTTTTTTTTTTTCTTTTTTCTTTTTAAAGAAAAGGCTCTGCTTACATTTCTTTTTCATTCACTCGTGTCAACATACCTGAGGGGGAACACGTTCCTGGATGGCCAGATGTACTACCTAGACTTTCTCTCCCCATCATTGGGTAATATGACCTTGACTCTGACCACAACTTCATACCTGAGCACAAGTGAGTCTATGGACGTTCCTCCAACTCTTTCCCTGATGCCATGGCTGTGCTTTTGGCCATCCCAAGGCACAAGGCGAACTCACTAGGCTGTATCCATGAACGCTTCAGCTACTCCTCAACAGCACACCTTCCAGAGGCTCTTGTTTTCTTTGTGACCAATGAAAGCACATTTTTGCCTCATCTTGGAACTGGACAGAAATGAATTGGACCAAAGATGCAGCCAATTAGCAGGTGTACAAGCCCCCCATGCTAGGGAATATTGAGCGTAACTGACGTGAGTTATTTTCTTTGGGAATCTAACATTTTTTAGGTTGGGTACTGGGTAACATTCCCCTGCTAGAATTAATCATCACAAGCGTTTGCGAGGATGGTATTATAGCCTTGCTTTACAAGTCAGGAAACTGATACTTCCCTCAGAGAGTTAAGCAACGATGTTGATTTGGCTGTAAGTGCCAAGAACCAGCCTTTGGATTCTCTTCTCTTTGGTCGCCATAGTCACGACAGACTCACACTAAATAAACAGATGTTGCTTTGGGGGAAGTTTAATTCATCTAGTGTGGTGCAATTGTACAAAAGTTCCCCCTTTTTGGGACCGATGAAGGGCAGCAGAAGAGTAAGGAACTTCTCACACTCCCTACTTTACTAGCACGCAATATTGTTGTACAAGTTATATTCGAGTCTGTGTTAAGTCTTACCAAGTATTACGTATACATGTGATGAACATGAAGCACTGAGAATCAAATGAGCCATGTCTCCTGAGATGAGCTCACTGTCTGCTGAGTGGTGATGGGGTAACAGTCAACACAGTGAAATAAGTGAATCCCAAGGTGGACATCAGAAAATGCATCACTCTGAGGATGAGGCATCTGGTTTGTGTTACTTCCACTGCATCACAGTGAGGAGACCATCCCCCCATCCAGTTCCCTGCACATACACAAATCACAACACCCTTTGTGTTTTCCAGGTTGTGTGTGTGCATCAGTGATGCCGACAAAGTGGAAAAGAACGTCTACCACTCAGAGAACTTCTACCTGTCACCATGGAAGATGTCCGCCCGGTCAAAGCAAAAACAAAAACAGATCTCTACCCCTTCTCAGGACCGATGCAAAACTGACTTTTTCAGGTAAGAGATACTATATTCAGTGTGGAGAAAATGGAAGATTCTGGATCTTGTCCCTCTGTCTCATAGAGATCAGTGAAAAGCAAAGACGTTGACATTATTTGCATAAAAATCAGCGTATTTGTTCTTTCTTTTTCGTCGTTATGACTTTTTATTTTGAGATGGTTTAAGACCCACAGGAAGTAGCCAAAGTAGTACAGAATGAGCAAAAATGTTCACTTAACCCAGCTTCCCTTAATGATGATATCTTTTATAACCGTAGTCATTGTCAGGGCGCCTGGGTGGCTCAGTCGGTTGAGTGCCAACTCTTGATTTCAGTTCAGGTCATGATCCCAGGGTCGTGGCATCCAGCCCTGAATTGGGCTCAGAGCTGAGCATGAAGCTTGCTTGAGATTTGAGATTTTCTCTCTCTCTCTCTCTCCCCCTCTCTCTCTCTCTCCCCCTCTGCCCCTCCCCCACTCTTCTCTCTCTAACTACAATAACAACAACAACAAAAATATCACTGCCACAATTTGGAAATTGACATTGACCCAGTACTAGTAACTCAGATATAGATTTTATTTCAAGGTAATATTTGACAGGCTGGAATATATTGCCGATGAACACAAGAATTTCTCAGTGTTGCTTCGTCTATCCACCCTTTCTCAATAGGCTATTTCTATACAGGGTACCATGGCTTGTAGGACTCAATAAACCACTTTATTTGGTTGAACCAATGCCAGTTACTCCAATGCCAATCTCTAGTCAAGTGAACCATCGTAGATGATTAAGGTCAGGGCTATCAATAGAATTCTTGCCAGCATGGGCATAGCTCATATCCGTGGTGTCTAATATGAAAACCATTGTCCACTTACGATGTTTGGCCACTTGAAATATGGCTAGCTCAAGTGAGAAACTGATTTTAAATTTTAATTAATTAAAATTTAAGTTTAAATAGGCATGTGTGTCTAGTGGCTATCATATTAGACAGTACAGGTCTTGGCCCAAAGGATGCTCCCTTGCTCTTAACCCCAATCTTGATATCAGCCAGCCAAGGGACCCTGGACCCCAGCTCTCAAGTGTGAAGAAGAAGAAAGGACCTAGCATAGGACTTTTCTGTTCCATATCTTGACAAGGATCCCCAGTGGAAGAAGGAAATAAGCCTGATAGCCATCATTTAGCATCTCAGGTGTATCTCATCATGTGGAGGCAGGAGGTAGAAAAGGAGCATTAGTACTGAATGGGTTCTTTTCCTCTTACATTTTTAAATGTTTACTTATTTTGAGAGAAAACAAGAGAGCATGAACAAGGATGGGGCAGAGAGAGAGAATCCCAGGCTGGCTCTGCACTGCCAGCACAGAGCCCAACTTGGGGCTTGAACCCAAAAACCATGAGATCATGACCTGAGCCAAAGTCAAGAGTCTGTTGCTAACCAACTCAGCCACCCAGGTGCCCCTGTTCTGGGTGGGTTCTTACAGAACATAATCTCACTGATATCCTGGAATTTCACTCACTCACATTAGGGTCCCATTCTCTCGGGCACCAATGATGGGTGAAGGCAGAATATAAGCTAGGAATCTTCTCTTCTCCCTAAACTTCTCAACAAGGTCACTTAGGTCAACAATCTAGTATGAAACAAAATGTTACAGCAAGTACTTGGTGTTGAGAATCGACTGAGTTCTGCTTCCCGGGATGGAGAGAGCAATGTGGAGTGGGAAATAGAGACACAGTGAAATCTGGTATGAAGCGGGGTGAGGTGGACTCATGGGGGCTTGAGAGAAGGCTTCCATAAAGACAAAGCATGGGGTCCATGGCTTTTAACATAAAATCATGCTGCCAAGATTGTCCTTCCACCAGGCCTCCGTGCTGTATTCGTAACACAACTTCCATTCTGTTTGCAGTGGATATGATGACGTATCTCACCCCTGCTCTTCGGCTGCGCAGATACAGGATGACCAGTTTTCTACTTTCTCAGAAAGTGGAGGATATTGTGAAGTGTTGATATCAAAGCCACCACCGCACATCACTGCTCTTGGAACTGAGTCCTGTGAGGAAGAGATTTCCTGGTAAGGGGAATGATTATATGGAAAAAGCTGTAATCGTACTGGATTCTGTTCCTCGATACCAGAGGTGCGCACAAGAATCAGGGGAATTTGGTCATTTATATGGGAATCAGGGGGAGAACGAATGAGGTTATACAGTCTTACCAGCAAACCCACAAATTTATGAATGAGATCAACCACCTCTTCTTCCAGGAAGGCAGGATGAGAAGCTATACACGAAAAGGCAGTCATGGATGCAAAGATCACTGTGTCATTGGTTAAGCTGGGAACCAAAACAAATTACTAACTCAGTGCCTTGGGAATCTGGCTCATGACGAGGCTGAAGGATGGAGGGGGGTCCCTGAAGGGGTGTGCTGGAAAATATTCAACACCAGCTTCCTCAGGGGAGGGAGAGAGCTTTTATTTGTAGTGCCGTCCAATTTCTGTGGGGTGATTACTTGTATCATGGTGGATTTCAAACTAGTAACATAACCTCAAGAGTACAGAGTATAGAGGCGCCTGGGTGGCTCAGTAGAAAGAGCTTGCAACTCTTGATCTCAGGACCCTGAGTCGGAGCCCCATGTTGAGTGTAGAGATGACAAAAGAATAAATAACAAACTTAGAGAAAAGAGTGCAGAATACAGTAAGATGTAGAAAAATGTGAGCGTTTATTTATTTGTAATATGGTCTATTTAAATGAAAGTCTTAGGTAACTTAATTCTTTTTTTTTTTAATGTTTATTTATTTTTGAGACAGAGACAGACAGAGCATGAACAGGGGAGGGGCAGAGAGAGAGGGAGACACAGAATCTGAAACAGGCTCCAGGCTCTGAGCTGTCAGCACAGAGCCCGACACGGGGTTCGAACTCACGGACTGTGAGATTATGATCTGAGCCAAAGTCGGCCGCTTAACCGACTGAGCCACCCAGGCGCCCCAGTAACTTAATTCTTAATAATAGCTGTGTTTAACAACCTGCCCACAAAATTCCTGAAAAATTTAACAGTCGGATCCCACCTACTGGGATGTATTGGCTCCCACTCACCAGGGGTTCCTCCCACCACCGAAATCCCAACCTCTGCCACCCATTGGAATCCAGCGTGCAGGAGCATCACACAGAAGGCTGTGTATGTAACCTCCGTGCTTTGCATGGGGCCAACACAATCCATGACTGCTTCTGTAGCCTCAGACATAGCGCCAAGACTGAGCAGGGCAGGTCAAGTTTCTCGCACGTGGCTTGCCCAAGAACGCTTTTGGGCCACAGATTCTTTCTTTTAAGTCCACTTCTGCAAATATGTGTTCTTTTTTATCCATAGCCTGTGTATCAATTTCTCTGTTAATCCCTTTCATGTTGAAGTGAATAGACGCAGCAAGGAATAGATAAGGAATTTGGGGATCAAGGATTACGTGTATAGATCAAGAAATGAAAGGAATCTAAGAACACATCAGTGAAACTAGACATTTCATGATACCATGGAAGCAATTATGCCATAACTACTTTACCCACAGAAAACAATGCTTTTGTTTCCTCTTTCATCACATCTCCCCCTCCCCCCCTTTTTTTTTTAAATTTTTTCAATGTTTTTTATTTATTTTTGGGACAGAGAGAGACAGAGCATGAACGGGGGAGGGGCAGAGAGAGAGGGAGACACAGAATCGGAAACAGGCTCCAGGCTCCGAGCCATCAGCCCAGAACCTAACGCGGGGCTCGAACTCACGGACCGCGAGATCGTGACCTGGCTGAAGTCGGACGCTTAACCGACTGCGCCACCCAGGCGCCCCCCCCTCCCTTTTTTTAACTTAAGCAGGCTTCATGACGAGCACAGAGCCCAACACAGAGCTCGAATTCACAGCCATGAGATCATGACCTGAGATCAAGAGTCAGACGCTCAACTGACTGAGCCGCTCAGGCGTCCTTCATCATACATACCTCTTTTTAGGAACTAGGATTCTTGCCTTGTGATACCCCAGGTCTTGATTCATTCCAAATTTCCAACTCCCCAAGACAGAGGCTGGATTGTGTTGGTTGTCCTCATGTGTTAGGGACAGATTCTCACAACCAGGTGCCTCATGAACCACTAGCTCACCCCATAGATCATGATTTTCAGCTTTGTCTAAATAGTGGAATCATGGAAGCTTTAAAAGTAATGGTGCTTTGGTCTCACCACCAACCTCCTGACTTAATTGGTATGGGCTGTGGCTTGTGTTTTGTGATAGGTATTTGGGTGGGGGGCGGCGGGGGGGCGGCCCCCCCGCGCGAGTGGTTTAGCTTCCCAGGTGCAGTCCAGTTTGGGCACCACTGTTATGGGGGCATGTGTTTCACCCATGAGTCAATTGCTAATTCAGTGTTTTTATTCCAAAAGTTATATGACACAAATGAGAGCCAATTAATTAATTAATTAATGCTAAATGACCCAAAATGTTTATTTGACTAAATTCTATTTCATGTATAAGCATTACAGTCTCCCCTGTGTTTATCAGACTTTGGCAGTTAAAAAAACGAACCAACCTTATGCAGAACAGTGAAAATACCAAGTGTGCTGAAATCTACAGTTTTACTGTAGGACACACACACACACACACACACACACACACACACGTGCACACACACACACACACACAAACGTGTGTGTGTGTGTGTGTGTATATATATATATGTATTTAAGTCCTCTCTCCCTTTGGCCACATCAACTCTCAGTTATGATCATTAACTACAGACAAATTTCCAAAATCACTTCTTTGCTTTTCCAAGATCTTTGTAGCCATCATCATCCACCTCTGGCCATTTTTTCCTGAGTGACATCAATCATGTCATATATAAAGTCTCCCTGAATGATGATCTCATCCTCTCCTGTTACTGAGTCCCCACAGGAGAATTTTTTTTAATTTTTTTACTGTTTTTATTTATTTTTGAGACAGAGAGAGACAGAGCATGAGCAGGGGAGGGGCAGAGAGAAAGGGAGACACAGAATCCGAAGTGGGCTCCAGGCTCTGAGCTGTCAGCACAGAGCCCGACACGGGGCTCGAACTCACGGACCGTGAGATCATGACCTGAGCCGAAGTCGGATGTTTAACCGACTGAGCCACCCAGGCGCCCCGAGAATTTTTGAGCAACAAGTCTCTGTGCTTCTTTAAGATCAATTTTGAAAGTTGCAAAGCCACGTAGTCCTGTCACATATTTCTTCTTCACTCTGGGAATTTTGGCGATCAGAATCTTTTGTGGTACAGTCTTCTTTTTTGCTTTATTGGACCTCTTGTACCTCTCTTCTGCTTTTTCTTCTCTCCCTCTTCCCCTGCTGTGTCTTTTGACCCTCACCGATGTCAGCTTCCTGTTTCTGTGAATTTTCTCCAGGAAGTTTTGCAGGCTCATTTCGAAAATTCTTCTCTAGTGTTCGCTTCGGCAGCACATATACTAAAATTGGAAAATCCTTCTCTAACCACTGTTGACATTTAGTGACACCAGGCACGTGTGTTCACAGTACTTTGTTGGTAGTAAAAAGACTCCACAGTAAAAGACTCAGAGTGGGTAGCGTGCATCTAACTTGCCCTGGAATATTGTCTCTCAGACCTCCTTTGCCATCATGCCCGTTGGATTTGGAAATATAAGCAGTCGCATCTCACAAACCCATGTGGTCACAAAATTCTTGTCCCCCTCCAGTCCTGCCCCTACTGCCAGCTGAAGTGACACAGTCAGGGCAACTGAAATATTTTTTTAAGTTTATTTATTTTGAGAGAGAGAGAGTGAGAGAGAGAGAGAGAGAGAGAGAGAATCCCAAGCAGGCTCTGCACTGTCAGCGCAGAGAATGATGTGGGTCTCGAACCCACAAAACATGAGATCATGACCTGAGCCGAAATCAAGAGTTGGGACACTTAATCGACTGAGCCATCCAGGCGCCCCCCAGCCAGAGCAACTTAAACAATAGAAGTTAGGTATGGCCACTTTGGACACTGGTATAATAGGACAAGAGGTAGAGTGGTCAAAACACATTTGGGCTGAGAGATCCTCTTAGTTCTACTATGCTTACATTTTGTTAACAAACCTCTCTTTGTCCAAGTTATCTCTTTTTTGAGAGTCTAATACAACTGTCCAGTAGAACTTTCCATGATGATGGAAATGTTCTGTTCTGCGGTAGCCAATATGTTATCCATTTTCCACATGTAGGTATTAAGTATTTGAAATGTGGATAGTACAGCTGAGGAGCTGAATTTAAATTGTTTTTAAATTTTATTAATTTTCAAGAGATGGACAGAGACAGAACATGAGTTGGGGAGGGACAGAGAGAAAGGGAGATACAGGATCCTAAGCAGGCTCCAAGCTCTAGCTGTCAGCACAGAGCCCGACGAGGGGCTCAAACCAATGGACTGTGAGATCATGACCTGAATGAAGTTGGACTCTTAGCCAACTGAACCATCCAGGCACCCTTGAGGAGCTGAATTTTAAATTAAATTAAATTAAATTAAATTAAATTAAATTAAATTAAAAGTTTAAATGGCCTCTTTTGGCTAGTGGCCACTGTTTGGGCCAAACAGCTCTAGTTTTTAATCACATCCCTTTCATTACTATTACTATTATTATTATTATTATTTATTATTATTATTGCATGTGTGTGAACTGATTTATTTCTTTTTTTTTTAAGTTTTGGTTGTAAGTAATCTCTACACCCAACATGGGGCTCAAACTCATGACCCCAAGATCAAGAGCCTCATGCTCTACTGATAGCCAGGTGCCTGCTGTGAACTAATTTCTAATATTTTCCTCATTTTTGACACTCAAGTTCTCCATTCAGAAGCGAATCTGAAGACCAGGAATCTTCACAGAGTCAAGAATCAGGTAATTGGCTAACATAGAGATGAGGCCAGGGCTGTGTCAGTGGGTTGATGGAAATGTCCCGTGGCTTTACGTAGAGAAGACAGTGTTGAAGTCCTTTATGGCAGTGACGACCAAAAACAAATTTTCTTATCTCTAACACCATCCTCCATACAACTTAAATGGGGATACGAAGTACTCAAAATCTTGGACGTTATATCAGGAATGAATTCCATATTCCAAATACTCTATTAGGGTTATTACACATATTCTCTTTTTATTATCCATGGAAACTCTATGAGTGGATTATATAGATTCTACTTCAAAGACAAATAAAGCAAACTTAGAGGTGAGAAATCTTCCAGCTGGTAGGTGAGGTGTGGCAGCATTGGATTGTATTTGGTTAGGAGACATTTCCATTGTATTGGTCTACTAGGTCTGCCATAACAAAATACGGTACACTAGGAGCCTTAAACAATAGAAGTTAATTTTCTCCTGGTTCTGGAAGCTAGAAGTCTCAGATCAAAGGCTGGTAGATTTGGTCATTCGTGAAGACTCTCTTCCTGGCTTGTAGATGGCCACCTTCTCCCTGGGTCTTCACATGGCCTTTTCTTTGTGCATCGAGAGAGAGAGAGAGAGATAGATCTGGTCCCCCTTCCTTTTCTTGTAAGGACACCAGGACACCTTTCCTATTGGATAAAGAGTTCTTTCTTATGACTCATTAAAATTTTTTTTAATGTTTATTTATTTAAAAAAATTTTTAATGTTTATTTTTGAGACAGAGAGAGACAGAGCATGAACGGGGGAGGGTCAGAGAGAGGGAGACACAGAATCTGAAACAGGCTCCAGGCTCTGAGCTGTCAGCACAGAGCCTGACGCGGGGCTCGAACTCACGGAGCGCGAGATCGTGACCTGAGCCGAAATCGGCCGCTTAACTGACTGAGCCACCCAGGCGCCCCAATGTTTATTTATTTTTCAGAGAAAGAGAGAGAGAGAGAGTGTGAGAGAGACCATGAACAGGGGATGAGCACAGAGAGAGAGGGACACACAGAATCTGAAGCTGGCTCCAGGCTCTGAGCTGTCAGCATAGATCCTGATGCGGGGCTCAAACTCATGGACTATGAGATCATGACCTGAGCCGAAGTTGGACACTTAACTGACTGAGCCACCCAGGCACCCTTCTTATGACTCATTTAACCAGTAATACCTTCTTATAGGTTCCATCTCCAAATTCAGCCCATATATCTATGCTCATTGTGTTGGGTTGGAAAAAAATTACCCAACGTGACTATTTTAGATTTTGTCATTACTTGCTCCACCTCTAAGTGCTGATGGTTGAAAACTGTCCTACGTGGTGTGAAGTAGTTTGAAAGCCATGTGAGATTCAAGGAGAGCAGGGCACTGGTGTTGGCTGTATCTTGATCCCCAGCCCAACTCCTGTCTTCCCAGTCATGTGGTCACTGGGTAAGCTAATCACATGAATAGCTAACATTGTGTGCTATTTTCGCTGGGTATCACACAGCCAGGTACCAAGATTCAGAGCAATTCTACATGAGGAAAAAAACTCAGAGAGGTTAAGTAACTGTTTAATTGAGACTTTTCATTTTTCCTATACAAGATCTCTACTCTCTGCAAAATGAGATTCCATCATATATAATTCCTCATAAACCAATTTTTGTCAGAGGACAGTGTCTAAAAGATTTCTATTGCCCAGGTTAGAGATATTTGTTCTATGCAAATCATCCTCGCCCAGAGCCTAAGCAGTGGGAAGTGAATTCAGCAGTGTGTGCATGGAGGGTCTCCAAGCATTGTTGTGCAGCCGGATCCTGGGAGCGTTCAGGGAACGGGCGATGGTCTGGGGGTGCCACGGGATGGATGGTGGAGAGGATGAGAGTGAACAGATGTGTCTTTGCCTTTTCAGCTTTCATGCTTGTTCGCTTTATGGACTTGGCTTCCCTCACCAGCAACAAGCATTTTCTGCTCCTTGGGACCATGTAGAAATTTAGCTGCTGTGGTTCCTGACTTAGGCAAATACACCGCCTGCCCCCCCATGCTGCCCAGCCTGACTTCCTTCTTAAATTTGGGGGTGTAATTTCAGCAGTAACAAAGAACCTTCTTGTGGCTTTCTCTGTGTGGATTCAAAACAAAGCCGCTTGTGCTCGTCCCATACCCTTCTCTCTGATATCTGGATTCCCAACAGTACATGTGCAATTCAACATCCAGGACCCCTTCAGGCCATGCCTTTTTCAACAATCCACATATGACACATGCGACATATTTTTTTTCAGAAGATACTTGCCGCGAAGAGAAGACAGTAGTGCCCCACCTGGTTGCTAAACTCTGTTCTGGGACTGAACCGGTTTGTAAAAGTAATCAGTTTCTGGGACCTGAAGGAAATGTGGATATTGAGTTGATTGATAAGAGTGCAAACAGATACAGGTAAGAATCGAAGATGCTGATTGTTTAAACACAATTCTGCTATAAAGGAAGTATATAATGTGTGATACTTAACATGTATACATGTACATGGTATATCTCTTAAGACATCTGAAATTTTGTCAATATTCTCTGTATTCCATATTCCGAGTTGGTATTTTAATTTTGACAGATGTAGAATACAGAGAAATCAGGGCCCAGAAAGCCTAATTAATTCCCCAGAATTTTCTTTAAAAAAATTTTTTTTTACATTTATTTATTTTTGAGAGACAGAGGGACAGAGCACAAGTGGGGGGAGGGGCAGAGAGAGAAGGAGACAGAATCCGAGGCAGGCTCCAGGCTCTGAGCTGTCAGCACAGAGCCTGACACGGGGCTCGAACTCACAAACCGTGAGATCATGACCTGAGCTGAAGTTGGACGCTCAACCAACTGAGCCACCCAGGGGCCCCCTCTCCCCCACAGAATTTTCTAATGTGGTGAAAGTCACAGATGAATCTTGAACCTTGCTCCACCCCAAACATCACATCCCTCTGCACAATTGTTCTTTATTTTTTAAATGTTTATTTATTTCTGATAGTGGTGGAGAGGGCAGAAAGAGAGGGGAGGGGAGGGAGAGAGAGAGAGAGAGAGAGAGAGAGAGAGAGAGAATCCAGGCAGGCTCCATGCTGTCAGCACAGAGCCCAATGCAGGGCTTGAACTCACAAACTGTGAGATCATGACTGGAGCTGAAATTGAGTCAGACACTCAACCGACTGAGTCACCCAGGTGCCCCTGCACATTTGTTCTTTAAATCAAAGTCCTGGTGTTGTCCCTGTATGACTATCATTCTGACTCTTTTCAGTGTCCACTTCCCCGTGGCCGGCTTCTATCTGTGGCCAGCAACAGGCCTTGGCTTCCTGGTAACAGCAGCAGTGACCGTGACGATTACGTTCGATTCTTGGGGTCGGCACCTGGACCTGAAGTTACAGCATCACGAGAAGTGGATGGTGGCCGGCCCTTTATTTGACATCTCTGTGGAGCCTGAGGGGGTCATCACTGAAATCCACCTCCCCCACGTCATCTCTCTCCCAGGTACAGAGGGGAGAGAGGAGGCTGTGGGGACGGTGGGGAACATTGTCTAATGGCCTTTCTGGTTGCCCTGCAGCAAATGAGGTCCATATATCTTGGTTCCAAGTTGCCCATTTTAAGGATGAAGGGATGGTCCTGGAGCCGCCAGCCCGAGTGGAGCCTTTCTATGCCATCCTGGAAAACCCTAGCTTCTCTCTGTTGGGGATCCTGCTGAGACTTGCCAGAGGGACCTGCCTTTCGGTCCCCATCACATCCACGGCACTAATCTATTATCACTTCCACTCCGAAGATGTGAAATTTCACTTGTATCTTATCCCCAGCGACTCCTTGCTAACGAAGGTAAGGCCTGCAGATTTGGGAGAAGATGTGAGAATTACATTTTCAGCCTATCACCTTGGACCTTCTGTCTCCCTATTGAACAGAACAGTCAAGGCACAGGGGCACCTGGGTGGCTCAGTAGGTTGAATGTGGGACTCTTGATTTTGGTTCAGGTCATGATCTCAGTTTTGTGAGTTCGAGCCCCGTGTTGGGCTCTGTGCTGACAGCTTGAAGCCTGCTAGGGATTCTCCCTCTCTCTCTGCCCCTCCTTGGCGCTCTCTCTGTCTCTCTCTCTCTCTCACACACACACACAACAAACAAACAAACAAACAAAGAAACAAATAGGAAAAGTCAAGGCACAGCTTTCATTGATAGAAGCATGAATCACCCTTCACAAGGTCAATCTGTAGGTGCAGACTCTAGAACCATACGCAATGATCCCAGTAGGAGTTTGGTTCTGCTAAAAATGGAGCTACCTTTTCTGGCTTTGAAGGAGAAGCAAAAAAGGGAGAGGAGACTTATGGGGACTCGCAGAAGAGGTGATGCAGAGATTTCATTGTAGAAATGGACGTTAGTAATATCTAAATGAAACACACATGCACCCCTCTGCAGTCATCCTCCTGTGCATTTGTGAAAGGCTCAGAGTCCCCCCCCCCCCCTTTCCAGGGTTAGTGCTGAAGCAGACATGCTGGTGGCCATTGTGGCCCCATAGCTACTGCATCCCTGGATAGAGTACCACTTGTGTTCCTCCAACCTCGGTGGAGAGGTTAGTGGGGGAAGACTCATCTGCTTTGCTAGCCAATTGGTTAATTTTCCTACAGCTCAGTAAGAGGCAAGTATGGGCCTGGCGGTTGTTAGGTTGTGAGTAACCATGGGTATTTAAAATACAAGAGAAAATATTTTAAAGTTTATTTGTTTATTTTGAGTGAGAGAGCAGGGAAGGGGCAGAGAGAGAGAGGGAATCCCAAGGAGGCTTTATGCTGTCAGCACAGAGCCTGATTCGGGGCTCGAATTCACGGCTGTGAGATCATGACCTGAGCCTTTTCAAAACGACATTCCTTCCTTATGTACAGAGACATATTCATATATATACGAATATGCATATATAGGTATATACATATATATTTGAATGTATCAGTCTGTACATGAACCTTTACATCCATTGAATGATGTCATACGTGCTACTTGATACAGTATATGGAGAACTTTGTATGCGACTGCTTTTGCTTATTTCCTTTTAGCTTCGCCCTCTGATTTGCTTCTGTTGCTTCTTCCTCAGGCAATAGATGAGGAGGAAGCTAAGTTTCAAGGTGTGCGTCTGCAGACCTCGCCCCCAGTGGACCCACTGAATTTTGGTTCCCGTTATATTGTGTCTTGTTCACCTCCCCTGGAAATAATACCCAAGGTCAGTAGAATTGGATATAACTCAAATTGAACACATGGTTCAAAATATTTTGTACTTTTGAAGAAAAAAAAAAAAGAGAGAAGATTAGTCTCTGAACCATGTCCTGATAAGAGCTGGTCTACTCTTCCTTCCATGGAACAATAATATTTCCTGAAATTGTAAACTTACCAAGAATGTTGACCTTTCTCCCTCTGTTCTCCTCTCAACCAGCCATGAGATTGTATGGGAAATGGATTACATTTCAGTGGCCAGTTTCCTGTAGGCAAACAGAACTTTCTACCCCCTCCCCCCCCCCCCCCCACCGATGCTTTAAGTCATGTGTTTCCTCTAGGAGTTGAAATTATCCTACAGGAACCCTGGAGAAATCCAGGTCTTCTCTAAAGTCTATGCTGGGAGGATGAAGGAACCAATCATGCTTGAAATTACTGAAAAAAGATACAAGACTTTGATCTGGTACACTTTGGTGAAGCCAGGTAGGTAAAATATATATATATAAGGCTAAAATTGGGGGGGGGGGAGGAAAAAAATCATGCACCTGTCTCCTTGGTTGCAGTGAAGTCTATCACAGGAGAAGGTCTGTTTATGGTCTCATCCCAGAGAAGAAAATAAATTTACTGACAGTTTATAGTGTCCAAAGTTCTGCACTATCAACAACCCCGGCGTTATAAGGTTTAAGGAATGTACTCGCTTATTCATGTTTAATCACTTCATGATGGTATTTCATGCCAAAACACGTTTGCCTAGAAGATAATTGTTTTCTTCCTAATTTTTCTTTAAATTCTGGTTAGTTAACATATAGTGCAATAGTGGTTTCGGGAGTAGAATTCAGCGATTCGTCACTTACATACAACACCCAGTGTTCATCATAACAAGTGCCCTCCTTAGTGCCCATCTTCCACCCGGCCCCTCCCCCACCCGCCTCCCTTCCATCAACCCTCAGTTTGTTCTCTATCATTAGGAGTTGCTTATGGTTTGCTTTCCTCTTTCTTTCTTTTTTTTTTCTCCTTCCCATATGTCCATCTGTTTTGTTTCCTAAATTCCACATATGAGCGAAATTCTATGGTATTCATCTTTCTCTGATGGACTTATTTCACTTAGCATAGTATACCCTAGCTCCATCCACATAGCTACAAATGACAAGATTTCATTTTTTTTTGATGGCTGAGTAATATATATATATGCACACACACACACACACACACACACACACACACACACACACACACATATATATATGCTATATCTTCTGTATCCATTCATCAGTTGATGGACACTTGGGCTCTTCCATAGTTTGGCTGTTGTAAATAATGCTGCTATAAACATTGGGGCGCATGAACCCCTTCAAATCTGGATCTTGTTGGATCCTCTGGCTACATAATATCTGGTGCAACTTCTGGGTCATAGGGTAGTTCTGTTTCCTAGAGGATAATTTATGTAGAACAGTATGATAACTTAAGCGTTGGCTTCACATTGTCTCACATACTGGCTTATAAATAGAAATAGAAGGAATGTTGGGAAAATATATTCCTTCCTCTGATGCATTTCCCTAATGCGTAGGGGGTGACCTTCTACCTCATGGGGTTCCATTTGTATATTAATGTTCGAATGGGATCCTTCACTTAGGAAATGGAATTAAATTACTTTAGTGTGTTACAGGGGCGCCTGGGTGGCTCAGTCGGTTGAGCGTCCGGCTTCGGCTCAGGTCATGATCTCATGGTTTGTGGGTTTGAGCCCTGCATCGGGCTCTGTGCTGACAGCTAGGAGCCTGGAGCCTGCTTCAAATTCTGTGTTTCCCTCTCTCTCTGCTCCTTCCCTGCTCATGCTCTGTCTCTCTCTCTCTCTCTCTCTCTCTCTCTCTCTCTCCTTCAAAAATAAATAAAAACATTTAAAAATTAAAAAAATGTATTTTAGTGTGTTACATCAAAGCCTAGAGAAACCAAGGGGCACCTGTCTGGCTCGATCAGTACAGCATGTGACTCTTGATCTCGGGGTCATGAGTTCCAGCCCCAAGATAAGCATAGAGATTACTAAAACAATAAACTTAAAAAAGAAAAGAAAAGAAAAACTAAATAAAGGTATACAGCTGATTTCATATCATTCTCCAACTTTTCCTTCCTTCCTAGAGGAGCTCCAGTTTGGTGCTACATCGGCCCCTCCTCCCCTCCCAGGTCAGTGCAGTGTTTCCACCAAAAGTCTGATTTCAGGAGATCTTTGAGTGATGTCGCTCAATGTGGGTTCATACCTTCTCTTCATTTACAAAGACTAAGTGGTTCCAGAGACAAACACAGAGTCTGATGCACTTCAGCAAACACATGAGGCTGTAATACGCAGACTCTGAGCGTGCAACCACGCTTTTTTGGGAAACCATTTTGCATCTGCTGAACTTTAAGTAAGAGTAGTTCGAGGCGGCTGGGGATCAAACTTTAGAGAGACGGAGCCCACATGAGACCAGAGGGGCAGGCAAGAAACAGAACTTGTAAGCATAAGGATGATCGTTGAACTCTTTTGGAGCTTAGTCCGAAGGCAAAGGGGGACTTTTGAAGGGTGAGTAACAAGGCACTCACCTTTCGGAACTGTGTGGATGACTGTGAGTGAGGAATGAACAGGAAGTGGGAATTGGCTTATGAGGCTGTTGTAAATGTCAAGATCAGGTGTTAGCTGGGAATTTGTTCAGGTTAATGGAGATGGTAGATAGCGGGGAAAGAAATTATTTAAAATAAAATGCCAAAGGGCACCTGGCTGGCTCAGTTGGAGGAGCGTGGAACTCGATCACACTAAACTTTTAAAAAGAAAATAAGGAAAGTAAAATAAGGAGCCAAGATTCAGAGGACTCCATTCTGCCTTCCACGTTGTTGGCCATGATTGTCAGGCTCCACACAGTAGAAGTGACGGGCCCCCTTTGTCAAAACAGATCATCCAGGAGAAGGAGAGTATTTTCTGGTGTCTCTTGGGGAGGAGAAGGCTCCTCGGGTATCGCATTGGCTTGACATGGCAACAGACCCATCCTGGCCAGCGGGTGTTGTCAGGAGGTCCAGAGAGGCAGACTAGCTGGAGAAAATCAGGCCCCACCCCTGGAGTTGCAACTGGGTTCAAACTCAGCTACAGATCTTGGTGAAGAATCAGGTAAAGGTGATTTCATAAAGGAAACGAAAGGACTTAATGTAGGTGGTGAGTGTGTAGCATTAATACAGGGTCTCTACCCTTCCTATCACACAAGCTCTTGAGCAAGAGATATCTGTCACCTGTCGTCTGAAGGATGAAACTGACACTCATTCGCTCTGTCTAGAAGACCCTTCAGAAGCTTCTGCCGGCCCACATCTTGAGTCAAATCTTTATCCTGGCCACCATGTGCCATGAATCATGACACCTCTTTACCCCTCTTTCCCTTTTGGCCTGGTGGCATCTTGCATTTCATACCCAAATCCTTTTCCTTCCGGGGCACCTGGCTGGCTCAGTTGGTTGAGCATCCGACTTCGGCTCGGGTCACGATCTCATGGTTCATGAGTTCCAGCCCCACGTCGGGCTCACTGCTGTCAGCCCAGAGCCAGCTTCGCATCCTCTGGCCCTACCCTGCTTGCTCTCTCTCTCTCTCTTCCAAAAAGAAACATTAAAGAAGTCCTATAAATCCTTCAAATCCTCCTTTGATACTAATTCTTCCGTGAAGACTTTGCTTCAGAGTCTAGTCATCCCCTCCTTTGTGACCTGAAGGCTGTGGTGACATTTGTCCCTCATGGGACTATGGTGATAAAAATGATCTTGATGACAAGCGCAGCTTATCGAAGGCCTGTAGCATGCTAAATAATCAGGGTACCTGTATTTGTGCTTCATATCGTCCACTTCTGTTTAGTCCTGTCAATAAACCGTGGCTGGCTTCCCCAGACAATCACAGAGGAGCGTCAGAGCGGGAACACGGTAGTGGCCGTGAAGTAACAATGTTGTGTGCAGTGTAGCCCGAGACAGACACGCTCTCTGCACCCATGGGGTTTCTATTCCAGCAGGTGAAAACAACGAAGCCCGTTCCACACTGCTTATCAAAGTATACTCGTGGGGCGTGTTGCCAAGGAAAACTGGAGGGATTTAGAAGAGGATGACATGAGGAGCTTGGATCTAGCGTTGAGGGAGTTGAAAACGTCTCAGAGTGCATCCTGGAGAAAAGGAAAAAGTGAAGTTTATGTCCAGTTAAGAAGATTGAATAGCAAGGGCGCCTCGGTGGCTCATTCGGTTGAGCGTCCGACTCTTGATCCCGGCTCAGGTCATGATGTCCCAGTTCGAGTCCTGCATCGGGCTCTGCGCTGATGGCGTGGAGGCTGCTTGGGATTCTCTCTCTGCCCCTCTCCTGCTCGTGCACGTGTGCTCTTTCTCTCTCTCTCAAAAAGTAAATACACTTAAGAAAAAGAAGGTTGAACAGCAGTGGCTAAACAAACGGGAAGGTTGAAACAATCGAGGCAGCAAGAATAGGTTAAGCGGAGACTCTGTGGCAGCAACATCATTCATTCAAACTGTGGAGTCACTGACCACACCCTTGCGATGACTTTTCAGTACAAAGACCGAGACTTCACAGAAATCACGTCATTAAATTAAGCTGTTTGGCTATAGCCACAGATGCCTGGGCACGAATTACCTGTGCCACCGTGTTAAGAGCAAAAGTTCTAGGGGCATGAGTTGTACATAAAAAGCAATCACGCTTTTTAAAAAATGCTGTTTTATTTTGAAAGAGAAAGAGAGAGGGAGAGAGTGCAAGCGGGGGGGGGGGGGGGGCAGAGAGAGGGGGACAAAAGATCTGAAGCAGGCTCCAGGCTCTGTGCTGACAGCAGAGAGCCCAATGTGGGGCTCGAACTCACGAACCGCCAGATCATGACCTGAGCCGAAGTTGGATGCTTAACCAACTGAGCCACTCAGGTGTCCCAGCACTCGCACTTGTTTTTTAATATTTATTTATTTATTTATTTATTTATTTATTTATTTATTTTTTATTTTTTTTTCAACGTTTATTTATTTTTGGGACACAGAGAGACAGAGCATGAACGGGCGAGGGGCAGAGAGAGAGGGAGACACAGAATCGGAAACAGGCTCCAGGCTCTGAGCCATCAGTCCAGAGCCCGACGCGGGGCTCGAACTCACGGACCGCGAGATCGTGACCTGGCTGAAGTCGGACGCTTAACTGACTGCGCCACCCAGGCGCCCCTATTTATTTATTTTTAAAGGAGAGAGAGAGCGTTAGTAGGGGAGGGGCAGAGAGAGAGGGAGACACAGAATCCGAAGCAGGCTCCAGGCTCTGAACTGTCAGCACAGAGCTCAAACTCATGGACCATGAGATCATGACCTGAGCCAAAGCTGGAACCTCAACTGACTGAGCCACCCAGGCGCCCCCCCCCCACACTTTTAGTGAAGAAACTGAGGAACAAGAAAGCAATGTTATTTGGCCAAGGTCACACAGGTACTATACATGGGCACCAACAGGAACCCTGAGTCAGCATGATGCAAAATACCTTCTTCCGTCCAGTGCCCCTGTCCGTCCTGTGTGGTCCTTAACCAGGTAAATCTCTTTCTACACAGTTCAGCAGCAGAAGACCCTTGAGGGTGGGGAGCCAGCCTTATCCATCTGCCTCTCTGATGTCATGCACAGCTGCTGGCAATGTAGGAACTCGGAGACTGTTAGAAGGATGAGTAGTTGGATGGATGGCAACGTAGAGCCCTCTCTCTAGGGTTCCGATGACAACCGGAAAGTAGCAAAGGCGAGGTGCTCAAAGCTTGGGGGGGGCTGGGATTGAAGAAGAGGTATTGCTGAGTTCTCCCTAGGTTCATTGACCCCCGAGAATGGACTGCGCGTCCCGAGCGTGCGTCTGGGAGACCCGGGCAGCCCACAAAAGAGAATGAGCAACGTCTCCATGCAGAATTATGTCTTGAAGCTGGGCATGGGTCCTGACCCCTATAAGCAAGCTTCCCTTTTCTGAGTCTGCAACGCTTCCTTCTGTCCAGCTGTGGCCTTTATGAAGGAGCACCGTCGTCATCTTCAAGCCAGGATGGGGCACCTGAATGGAGTCCTGGATGATCTTCAGGACCGTGGGGTCTTCACCGAGGAAGAGAAGGAGATGGTGCAGCAGATGCCAACACAGCAGAGAAGGAACGAGACCCTACTGAGGATGGTGGAGAATAAAGGGCACCAGGCCCAGAAGGTGCTCTTCAAAAGCATTAGTAGAAGAGACCCTTATCTGATGTCCTACCTCAACCAGCAGAGTTTACAACAGTGATTCAGACAGATACTCAGGGAGAGAGAATCCAGTGTTCTCCGCTGAAAATGGATAAACGGACGTGTGATCATTGAGTTCAGGGTCCAAGGCACGAGGTCCAGGTAACACCAACACATCACACAGGATTTCCTGAGGACTGATGTGTAATTTCATGGAGACCTATTAGTGTATCCTAATATCTTAACGTCAAGAATATCTGAAGAGAGGACTACTGCCTCGAAGTGCTTTTTAAAAACAAATTCTGGGGTGCCTGGGTGGCTCACTCGGTTGAGCGTCTGACTTTGGCTCAGGTCATGATCTCACGGTTCGTGAGTTCGAGCCCCGCATCGGGCTCTGTGCTGATGGCTCGGAGCCTGGAGCCTGCTTCGGATTCTGTGCCTCCCTCTCTCTACCCCTTCCCTGCTCATGCTCTGTCTCTCTCTGTCTCTCAAAAAGGTGAATAAACATTGAAAAAAAATTTTTTAAAAATCCTGTTTCATCCATTGGCACATTTCTTGGACGTCTGGGCAGAGGCAGATAAACGCAAGTGTGTTCGTGATTGACAAGGCCCAGGGAGACCAGTTCTGAGCAATGTAAGAAGCAATTCCGGTGAACATTACCTCTGAGATGTTACCTTCTCACAACAAAAGGCAGGAAGGCTCACAAAAACTCTCTGTTGGTGGTGGTGGGGGGTTGGGTGGCTCAGTCAGGCGAGCGTCCGACTCTTGACTTTGGCTCAAGTCATGATCTCACGGTTGGTGGGTTCGAGCCCCACTTCAGTCCCTGCGCTGACAGTGTGGGGCCTCCTTGGGATTCTCTCTCTCCCTCTCTGCCCCTCCCCTTCTCTCTCACGCTCTCAAAATAAATAAATAAACATTTTTTTTTAAAAACCTCTCTGTTGAGGACATTCATGGCATTCCTAAGTCTTAATGTTGTCGTTATCAAAAACATGCTGTGTCTTTAACATTTTATCCACTGGTATTTATCCCAGAATGATCTGAGTCCCTTTCATGGAACAGAGCACAGGAATGGAAGCCCATGGAAACGTTGGCAGAAAACGTTTTGCTGCTGGAATATAGGCTGGTGCTGGGAGTGGGCAGGTCCACACAGTGGTGAAGTATGGATAAATGGTCTGCACAGAACCAGCGAGAGGAAAGATGAAGAGTATCCGGCTGATTCTGAGAGAGGCCCTCCTGGCTAAGGATGTCACAAAAATAAGCCCGACATTTGGAGTCTCCATTGGGCCCTGCCATTTTCTATCCATCCCAGCCGTCTTTGAACTAGTGTTTGCATGGCATAACTATTGCCTACCCTTTGACTTTGAACTCAACTTATTTCCCTATATTTGAAGTGAGTTTTTGCGGAAGACGGCATAGAGTTGAGTCAGTTTGTCTTTGTTTTGTGAACCCACGTTGACAATCTCTGCTTTAATTGGCATGTTGAGCCATTTACATTGAACATGACTGTTGACATGTTAGAATCTAGCCTGGGTCAGCCATTTTTGTATTTGTTTTCTGTTTATGCCCTTGGTGTTGCATGGCTATCTTTCCTTTCTTGGCTTTTCAGGGGTTATGTGAAGAGTTTTTTCAGATTCCACCTTAATTTTTCTGTTGTGTTTTTGACAAGATGTGGTCGTGGATTTTTTGGCGATTGCACTAGAGATGAAAAGATACACACTGAATGCCTCAGTAGTGATATCAATATTGTGTTAATTAGAGTCGAATCTAGAGGGGCGCCTGGGTGACTCAGTCAGTTAAGTGTGTGACTTTTGATCTCAGCTCAGGTCTTGATCTTGATCTCAGGGTCATGAGTTCAAGGCCTGCATTGATCTCTGCACTGGGTGGGGTGTCTCCTTAAGGAAAAATAAAGATAAAGTGGAATCTAAAAGCCTTACCACCATTTTGGCCATGTTCCCTTTTATGACCGGGTTGTCTTCAATATTACCTCTCTCTATATATAATAAAGTCCCAAACAGAAAAATGTTATATATGTTTTCTACTTTCAATTGCTGAGTATGCTTTAAGAACTCATGAGGAGGGGCGCCTGCGTGGCTCAGTTGGTTAAGTGTTTGACTTCGGCTCAGGTCATGATCTCTCAGTTTGTGAGTTCGAGCCCCGCGTCAGGCTCTGAGCTGACAGCTTAGAGCCTGGAGCCTGCTTTGGATTCTGTGTCTCCCCCTCTCTCTGCCCCTCCCCTGCTCATGCTCTGTCTCTCTCTGTCTCTCAATAATAAATCAACGTTAAAAAAATTTTTTTTAAAAATCTTTGTCAGGTGCTGGAAGCCGAGCTATCCCAGCCTGAGTGGCAAGGCCGGGGCTGTGGACGGATTGGCGACTGCAAGGCGGCCCAGCGACAGTGAAGCTTCTTGTACTCCGCTCTTAGGTAATTCGGCCTTAAAACTACCTGGGGTATTGTCTGTTGGGGAATTGCCCTCGACAGGCCCCCTGGGAAAAGAGCCATTAGGAAAGAAAATAAGGTTCCGCAGGAAATTGTGCGGCCTTACGTTTAGCCCTTGCCACCCCCTATGGAGACTTCTCTACTTACAGGAAGGATAGCCTCATGCATTTGCCAGCAAAGGAGGCCAGTAAAGGAGAGACATATGGATTTGAAAGCCCCACTCCAGTAACTAAGGAGTGTTATCTATGGACTCAGGTCACTCTAACCCCTGGGCCCACCTGGCCCCCAGGAGGCATTCCAGATGATGAGTGAACCTAGTTGGTTAAGCTGCAGAATGGTCCATTGGTTCCTAGGTGCATTGCCTCTCTGAGAATGTATAAGGCGTGGGTTTCTAAGGCCCTCTTGGCCCCCTCCTGGCACCTCGGACCGAGACGAACACTTTTGTTCTTCAAAACCACGAATGGTTCAGGGAAACAACCAAGAGGTCATGTCCCTGTAACTGTTCCACTTGAGGGGTTGAGAGATAAATGACCTTTCATGAGAACAGCAAAGCAAATAGTTTATAGATTACAGATAAGCATAGATACATAATAAAAACAATGAAAGAAATTAATCAATAAGCAAAGGGCAGGAGGGGACGTTATGAGAAAACAATCATGGTATTCCTTATTGGGTGATGACCCAAAGGAACAATTTGAGAATTGGGTGATGCCAGAAAACGTAGATGACATAGGCTACAAGGAGATCGCTAGCAAATATAATGCCACGTTTGCTACAATCAATCGGCCAGTTCAACACACTGCGGTTGTCTGCGTCCATTTTTATTTTAGTTTTTTATGTTAGTTTTGTTTTATTTTCACTTTTTCGCCGGCGCCGTTCATCCTTTGGGAACCCCTGCATCTGCTGGAGCTGGACTCCGGCAGTCAGGTAATCCCATCGTTGGTGTCACCTCATTCTTTGATGATTATTGTTACTTCTTGGTGTTTATTATTATTTTCCACGTAAGTGGAGATTTTTGTGGCTTTTCCTTACATTTTGAGTAAATTTGGTTGGTATTCTGGACACTCGAATGTTATGTTATGAGACGCTGGGTCTTATTTATGTGCAAGCAAGATTGCGGATTTTTCAAAAAGATTTTATTAAAAATTTTTAAAATATTTATTTATTTATGTTGAGATCATGAGAGGTACAGAGGGAGAGAGGGAGAGAGAGAATCTCAAGCAGACTCCATGCTGTTAGCCCAGAGGCTAAAGTGGGTCTCCATCTCAGGAAGCATGAGATCATGACTTGAGCCAAAATCGAGAGTCCAAAGCCTAAACAACTGAGCCACCCAGGCACCCCAAGATTTTATTTTTAAGTAACCTCTACACCCAACATGGGGTTCAGACTCACAGCCCCGAGATCAAGAATCACACACTTCACTGACTGAGCCAAATGTGTATCCCTGGATTTTTTTTTTAACCTTACAGTTTTCTTTTTTTTTTAATTTATTTTTACATTTTATTTATTTTTGAGAGAGCGAGAGAGAGCACAAGTGGGGGAAGGGCAGAGAGAGGGAGACACAGAATCCGAAGCAGGCACCAGGCTCTGAGCTGTCAGCACAGAGCCCAACACGGGGATCAAACCCACGAACTGTGAAATCAAGACCTGAGCCGAAGTCAGTTGCTTAACCGACTAAGCCACCCAGGCGCCCCTAACCTCCCAGTTTTCAAAGCCTTTACCCGGCTATTCAGGCCTATCGTATGTATGTATCTATGGGACTGGGCATGGGTCTCCCCATTACCTCAGTTCTCAAAGTTCTCAGGATCCTAAATAGGGCCAGATCTATGTATACACAGGTTAAGCTTGAGTATAGGAATTCATATGACTATGAGTCCTCATTCCAGAGCCTGTCTCTCTTCATTATTGTGCTAGTGGGAACAATGGTAATTTGTAATTTTTTGTATCTTTAACTTGAAGTTGAAGCAAACTTGAATTTGAATTTTAACTTTAAAAATTTCCCAACAAAACCGGAAAAATCTTAATTAGAAAAAATTCAAAAGCACAAAATGATGAGTCAGATAGATACATCTGAGTGTGTTAAGATTCAGAATCAGAGTCAGATAAATAATCCACAAACTAAAAGATGTGAACAGCAGATTATTGTTATAATATACAAAACAAGCATTGGGCATCAATATCCAAAAATAAAACCCCTGGTTCAAAACAGGCAAAAGTTGTGAAGTAACGTTTTGCAGAACATGAACCACAAGGGGCCTTGAATCAATGAAAAACATTTCAACTTCTAGTTACGCCCACCTCAGATTCACCGCCCGGCCCTTTTCCATCAGGCCCCGCCCACCTCCGGCCCACGGCCCGGCCTCTTTCCCGCAGGCCCCGCCCACCTCCGATCCACCGCCCGGCCCCTTTCTACCAGGCTCCGCCCGCCCCGCATCCACTGTGCGGCCCCTTTCCCTCAGGCCCCTCCCACCTTCGCTTCCCGCCCGGCCCCTTTCCTTCAGGCCCCGCCTCTCCCCGGGCACCCACTCCTGTCTCCGCCCCTAGCCCCGCCCACCGCTCCCGCCTACACGTTGCGGGCCCCGCGTAAAGCGCTTGCCGCAGGCAGCACAGCGCTAGCCGCTCGTCCCCGTGCACCTTGCAGTCGAGTGGCGCTTGAGGGCGCGGCCTTGTGCACCACCTCGTGGCTCAGCAGCTTCCACGCGCGCTTGAAGGCTTTCCCGCAGGCCTCGCGGCCAAACCACCCCGCCCGGACCTCAGAGCCGGGGACGAGAGAGCCGGGCGCCGCCACTTTGGCGGAGGCGCGCCTCGGCCGCCGCGCCGGGGACCCGGCGAGGGATCGAGTACGCCCGGTGTTCGTGGACGAGCTGCACCAGGGCCGGAGCCTCCGCCCCGCCTCCTCCGGGCGCCTGGGAGAGGAGAGAGGGCTCAGTCCCTGGTCATCTCCATCCCACACCTGCAGGGCAGAAACCTGCTCCTCCCGCTCATACCCCTTCATCAAATCCCTCCGATGTTGGCTCTATCCGGAAAGTACGTCCAGAATCCGGCTACTTCTCACTCTCTCCCCGGCCGCCTCCCCTAAGCTCAAATCCTCTCTGACCCCAAGCGAGGACGCCTGTTGCCTGTCTGGACCTCCCGCCTCAGTCCTCGACCCCCAGGTAGGCTCCCCAGAGTGTGCCTGTTAACACCTAGATCAGTTCACGTGCCTCCTCAGCCCAGAGCCCTCCCGCATTGTCCCCTCTAACTCAAAGAAATGCCCATGTCCTCAGCAGGACTCAGGAGGCCTTGCGTGACCCCCCTGCGTTCCCTCTGGGATCTCTCCTCTCTCCCCCTCTCCTGCTGGCTCACTAGGCTCTGGCCACATTGGCTTCAAGGCTCTTCAACGGACTCATTGTCTGGAACCCTCTTCCCCAAGACAGCGGCCTGGCTTCCCCCTCATCTGGGTCAGGTCCTTGTTCAAATGTCATTTCTCACTAGAGGCCTTTCCTCACCACCTATTTCAAATGGAAACTCATGCTACCCTTCTGTCTTGCCCTACCTGGCTTTACTTTTCTCCACGGCACTTATCTTTGGATGTGAACCTGGGGCAGACCGCGTCCACCTTTCCGCATCCACGGGGAGTAGAGTCAGCCTGGCAATGAAATTGTCATAGACACAAACAGCTCCCAGAGAAGGCAGGGACAGCTTCTGGATGAGCACCTAGATCTAGCTGTGCCTGAAGCATCCCCTCCTTAACTTTTTGGTTGCGTGAGGCAATAAATTACCTTTTGTTGCTTCAGCAAGCTTGGCTTGGGTTTTCCGCCATGTGGTAGGCTGAGTGATGGCCTCCAACTATACTCAGGTGCTTGTGACTTTGGAAACAAGGACTATGCAGGTAGGATGAAATTAAGCGTCTTGACATGGGGACATTATCCTGGATCATCTCGGTGGCTCTAAATATCTACAAGTGTTCTTATAAGAGGGAGATTCGATGCAGTGAAGGCGACGGGATCAAGGAACTGAGATGCTCCGCTGTTGACTCTGAAGGTGGAAGAAGGGGCCGGAGCCAAGGGTTGTGAGGGATGAAGTTCTAGAAGCTGAAAAGGGAAGCAGATGGCCTCTCCCCTAGAGATTCAAAGGGCGCACAGCCCTGCGAACATCTTGATTTCGGCCCTAGGGAAACGGACTTCAAACTTCTGAAGTTTGTCGTCATTTATTACAGCAGCCATAAGGAACTAATACATGCCGTTTGCAGCGAGACTCTGAACACAGAGGGATACATACTTGGCATTTATTTGGCGCTTTCTGTATACCTAGGTACCTACTGCGTGCTCACAATAACCCAGCCATCTGCAGGGTAACTGAAGCTCAGAGAGGGCAATTCACGTGCCCGAGGTCACAGAGTTTGGAAGTGAGTCGAGATCTGAATCCGGGAAACTCGGGCTCTAAAGCCGGCCCTCACAAATTCACCCTCACCCGCCTATGGGGGATATTCGCACACCTCTTGTGGCAGTGTTGGAGATAATGCGACTGGCTAGTATTTATTGGATACTTACGAGGCTGTAGGAACTGTTCTGAGCAATTCATGGGTATTAACTCACCGAATTCAGCCTATGAGGTGGGGACTTTTATTACCCCCATCTGACAGATGAGCAAACTGAGGCACAGGGATTAAGAAATATCTACATAAGATCGCACAGCTAGTAAGAGGGAGGGGCAAAACGTGACCCCATGATGTCCCGCCCCTCTGTGATGATGAACCCTCCTCATTTGCCAGATGGAGACCCGAGGGCCCAGGGAGGTGCAGGAATGACTCCTGCACTTAGCAATGACCAGCCTCTCCTGGGCTGGAGCCCAGGCCAGGCTGCTTCCTCTGTTGTCAACGTGCTGCCTGACCTCAGGCAAGTCAACATGTCTCTTGGACCTCAATTTCTTCACCCGAGAAACGAGGGGGTTGGTCTGGATCAAAATGTGATGCTCAGAGCGCCCCCATCGGCATCGTGGGGAAAGGCGGGTGAAGCCGGCTCAAATTTGCGCGTCACCCACAATTCCCGAGTCAGGAGTTCTGGGGGAGGGGACACTCCTCACCATTCAACAGCCTGACTGCCGGCCATGTGCCGTGCACTGCCCTGGATTCTGGTAATAGAGCAGTGACCTCCCTCCCCTCTACTGTGGCCCAGCAGAAAATAAACAAGTAAAATACTAAGTATGTCGGATGAGGGTTCATCAAAACCAGTTGAAATGCACCCGTGTTCATGAACACACCTCGCGCACAAGAATTTGAAATGCGCTGTATCCAACAGTTTTCTTTTTCTTTTGGAGAGGGAGAGAGAGCGTGAGCGGGCGAGGGGGGCAGAATTTTTTTTTTTTTAATGTTTTATTGATTTTTGAGACAGAGAGACAGAGCATGAGCGGGGGAGGGGCAGAGAGAGAGAGGGAGACGCACAATCCGAAGCAGGTTCCAGGCTCCGAGCTGTCAGCACACAGCCCGATGCGGGGCTCGAACTCACGAGCCGTGAGGTCATGACCTGAGCTCAAGCCGGACTCTTAACCCACTGAGCCACCCGGGTGCCCCAAGGAGGGAGGGAGAAGCTTAAGAGCGCCTGTCCAGTCTCCCCACTCCAGTCCACCCTCCACAAGGCCCCAGAAGGCCGTCTTCACCCCAGGCTGATCTTGCCCCTCTCCTGCTCGTGGCTCCCCAGCAGCCGACGCCAGCGACAGCCCCCTTGATAAGCTCCCCGCACCCGCTCCAGCGTAACTCTCGAGATATTTGCCGGTGGTCCTTACCTTCTGCAAGTAGGTACTTAACTCTTCCACCAAGGGGCGCTAGCACCTGTTGTTATGCCCTCTCAGAGCCTCGGTCAGAATCCAACTCCTGCTACAAGGCACAGTTCAAACCTGCTCCGGAGGCACACACTCAACCTGGACCCGCCCCCCGCGTACACACGCAGGGGGCACCCCCCAGGACGGGCCGGGATCCCCCCCAAACAAACGATGGTCTCTCCCAACCAACTTCACCCCCCTCACCCGGACTCACAATGAGCCTGCCCACTCCAACCGCGCGCCTCCCCGCCGGGTGAACTCGCCCAGCCAGAGGCCCCGCCTTCTTTCCTTGGCAAAGGTCTTCTAAGCCCCGCCCCGCCCTTCGAACCTGGGTCCCCCGAAGGCCTCCCCTCTTCCAATTGTTTCGACCCGTTTGTCTCCTCCCCCTTTTCCCCCCAGCATTTACCCCCGGCCTCCGCGACAAAGGTCCCGCCCGCCCAAACATCCCTTCAGTACCCAGGCCCACTTCTCCCACCCCTCTGCTGGAAACTTGGTGTGTCCCGGAGTGGCAGAAGGGAACGGGAATCGGGCGAGACCATTACCCGAAGAGGGGGTGACACAGGAAGGGCGTCCCTGTTTAGGGACCGACCGCGCCGCTGGCTCCCCTGGTGCCTTTCAGATTCGAGCGGTGTCTCCCCAGACTTCGCCACCTCCCTATCGCTGTCCCCTCCCCACTTAGTGCTGCGATCCTCATCCTTCGGGCCAGACACCCAGCCGTCCGCGGGTCCATTCACGCGCTTCCGACCGCCTCAAGCGCATGCGTGGTGCATTTTCGGAAGCATTCGCTGGCCTTTATCGTGATGTTGATCTGGTCTAACAAGTAATGGGAGACCCTCCCCATGCAGCGTCACCAAATGTCAACCCACATCTTCAGTCTCTCAAAAAGAGAACGGGAGAGGCGGTATATAACGACAACCAATCACCGGGGTTCTTGGCACGCACTAGAGAGAATAAGGGCATTATTTTCAATTCTCCAACCAGCTTCGGTAGCAGAGTTAGTATTGAGCCCCATTTTCCACATCAAGAAACTGAGGGCTTGGGGTTCCTGGGTGGCTCCGTTGGTTAAGCATCGGACCCTTGATTTCGGCTCAGGTCACGATCTCATGGTTTGTGGGCTTGGGCCCCATGTCCAGCTCTGCACTGAAATGGGGGAGCCTGCTTAGGGTTCTTTCTCCCTCCCTCCCTCCCTCCCTCCCTCCCTCCCTCTCTCTCTCTCTGCCCCTCCCCTGCTCTCTGTCTTTTTCTCTCTCAATAAATAAACATTTTCGAAAAAAACAAATGGGAGCCATTGTAAGTGCAGAGGTGGAGGTTTGGCTCGGGGGACGGGGGACTCTCCGCTGTGTGTCCATTGGCAAGTCACTGCAATTCTGTGACTTAATTTCCACAGCTGGAAAATGGGCACAATGTCCACCTCCCAGGGTGTTGGGAGGGGGGCGGATCATAGAGGGCATCTCTTAGCTGTCACCCTCAGCGCTGGCTTCATTCCCAGGCTCTATCAAGAGGCTGGCAAGCAGGTCTAGGCCTGACCCCCCTCATCCTGGGGCCTCTTCCTAGGACTGAGAGAACCTTCAGTAGCCTCCCACCCTGAGCAGACCCATTGGCCAGGATTCAGTCACGTGCCCCTTGTTAAACCAATCGCTGGTACCGTGGCTGAGATTGGCCTGGGCTAGTCATTTGAGGGTAGACTCCACGGATGTCGGCCAAGTTGTCACCTTGGCATACTGGTCCAGGTGAGGGAGGAAGAGGCCCGAGCTGCCAGGGGGAATCTACTCATTTCCGGCCCCTCCATGCCATCTGGCCCCAGGAGGTCTTGTCGATAGAAATGACCTCTGGACCACCTGACTTTCTCTCCAGGTCTGGGCCTCCCCGCCTCCCCCGAGAAGCCAGGAACTCAGTACAGAAACCAAAATAATACTGTTTTATTCCGATCTTGAAGCACAATAGTCCAGACTGTTCCCTTCTCCCACTGGAGAGCCTCCGCCCCTCCCCCCATACCCCTTCCCCCATTCAGTCTCTTCTGGAAATGACCAACCAGAAGGCCAAGGGGATCCAAGCGTCCAGGCTTTGGGGACTCTCAAATCACTCCCCTCTTGCTCCTTCTCTCCCTACCTCCTATACCTTTCCTTTCCATGCGTCTTTTTTTCCCCTCTGTCCTCCACCCTGGCCTCCTTCTCTCCTGCCTCCCTCTGCTTTCCCCCATTTCTGCCTCTGTTGTTCTCTCTCCGCGGGTCTCCCTGCGAGCTTCTCTCCTCTTTCCTCCCCCCTTCCGTTTGTCTGATACTCCCCTTTGCTTTCTCCTTCACCCCTGCACTCTCTGGACGGACCATCTGCTCCTGCCCGGGCTCTCCCCGTATCCTGGTGTCCTCCCCTCCCCCAGCTTTGTCCCCTCCTTCCTTCCGCCCCCCGTCTGCCCCCCCCCTTCTATCCCCTGTCTCATCACACATCTCCTCTCCTGAGGGAGGCCCTCAGGAGCCGTCCTAGCCGCCACCCTCTTCCACACTGTGCCTCCAGGACCTCAGAGACCACTGTCAGCTTCCCCTAGGGCCCAGAGAGGCAAACGGCCAAGGTGAGGTCCCTGGATGACACAGGAAGTGGCCAGAGGGACTGAGGTGGCCTCCTTGGCCTCAGCCCTGTTATCTTTGGGATCGAAGAGCGCCCTCCTGCCCTCACAGCGGAGGGTGGCAGGCGGGGGCCCGATGGGTCAGGGCTCTGGGGCTCTCCCCCAGCAGTCCCTGAGCAGGTCCATGTGGAATAAGGCTGCCCCCGTGAGGAGGCGCGCCGCAAACAGGTGGCGGCAGGGCAGACGACGGGCGGCGTGGATAGAGCAGCTGCAGCGGGTCAGGGCCCTGTCCAGGAAGAAGTCCGAGGTTCCGTCCTTAAGGGCAAACCCAGCTCCAGTCCAGTGGAAACCCCGGGTCCCGTGCTGCCTGGCGAAGGCCAGCTCTTCGGCCACCAGTTCCGCCAGCTCTGGCCCGCAGGCCGCTCGGAACTTGGCCAGGGGCTCCCAGTCCACCTCCTCCTCTGCGGAGGGGCAGCAAGGCCTCTTTGGTTCCCGTGGACCTTCTTCTTGACCCCCTTCCTGCGGGCTCTCTCCAGCGGCCAGGCACACTCTCCGCGTCCCTGCCCATTCTGGATCGCCGTCACACACAGTTCCCACGGCGGGCCCACACGGGACTCCGTTCCCCAGCCCTAGACACCTCCCTCCTGCACCCCCACACCCCATCCCTTGTTCTCCTCGGCCCTTGGGGCCCACAGACCGGGCTCCCTCTCCGTTCTCCAGGCCTGTCACCCTCGTGTCCCCCAGATGGACCAGAACTACATCTTCCAGATCCCTTCTTCTTTTGACCCCCAACCTCACTTCCCTCTCTTCTCCAACCTCTGGCCCTCTCTGCCTCTCATCTCCCCACTGGGGCCCCCTTTGGTCTCCATTCTCAGGGACCAACTCCCTGGGCTTCTCCACATGGTGCCCCCTCCAGGTCCTGACCTCCAGCCCCCTTCCCTTCTCAGCTTCCAGCTGAGGCCCCTTCCAGTCTCTGGTTTTCAGTCCGTGTGCCCTCTCATCGTGCAGCTGGCCCCCCCGCCAGGTGCTCCCTTCAAGACTCTTGGCCCTCTCAGGATCAAACGGGGCCCCCCTCCGCTCTGTGGTCTCCAGCACCCTAATGCTGTCACCCTCCAGCTGGGCCATCCTCCAGGTATACCCTTCCAATGCTCTCGGCCCACCGTCCTCCAACCAGGCCCCTCTCCCTACGTAACCTTCTGGTCCCCAATCTTTCTCGGCCTCCAACGGGGTCCCCCTCCAGTCTCTGATCTCTGGCCCTCTCCAGTGCTCGTTCTCCGACTGGGACCCTCTCCAGTCTTGGACCTGCAGCCCTCTCCCCGAGTCACTTTCTAACGGAGCCCCTCCCCGGTCTCTGGCCTCCACTCCTCGGGCCCGCTCCTTCTCCAACTGGGCGCCTCGCCAAATACTTCCTTCTCTCGGGGTCCCTGCCCAGTCCCCGCTCTCCAGGCCCTTCATCCTTTCCTTCTCCACGTGGGCTCCCCTCCCCGGCTCGCCCTCTGGCCAAGGCCCCCCGCCGTCGGGGCCCTCGGGCGCCGCCTCCCCGGCCGCATCGGCCCACTGCATGGCCACCAGGTCGCGGAGGCACTGCGCCACGCTGCGCGAGGGGCTCAGGCGGCGCAGCAGGCGCCGGCGGTGGCCGCGCACCAGGGCGCACGCGTCCAGGTCCCGGGCCGCCTCGAAGGCTCGGAAGCGCACCCACATGTCGCGGCGCGGGGCCCAGTTGCGCTCGAAGTAGTCGACGAAGGCGGCCGGGCCGTGGGCGCGCAGCTCGGCCAGCGCCTCGGCGTAGGCGGCGGGCGAGCCACCGCCCAGGGACCCCGAGAGAAGGAAGTATT